AATGATTACTTGGATATTCACAGAATTAGGACTCGGGACAATCACCCAATAGTTGGTAAAGCTTGCCCACTTTGTGCTGACCATCTGGGCAAGCCCAAACCACCCCTTTTATTAGAACCTGTGCAGAGGAGAGAGACAAACTCTGGAGAGGACTGGCAATTAGACTTTACCCATATGTCACCATGTAGAGGGTTTAAACAAGTGTTGGACCTAATTGATACCTTCACAGGCTGGATTGAACACTTTCTTACACAGTAAGAAAAGGCTACTTAAGTAGTCAAGGTGCTTCTTAAAGGAATTATACCCAGATTTGGAATACCCAATCTCAGGGTGACAACGGACCTTCTTTTTACCTCCCAAATAACTCAGGGAATGGCAAAGGTTTTAGGAATAAAGTTTTACCTTCATTCCACTTGGTTGCCTTAGTCTTCTAAAAATGTAGAGAGAGCTAGACTCTAAAATGAACTCTGGCAAAACCCCATATGTGGAACTTCTCCTAGGCTCCCACAGGAAGTGGATGGCATAAAAGAGGTGATATGCCATGGGGAGCCTGCTCTTGCAACTTCCCATGCTACATTTCCCAGAACATTTCCTTTATCTTTGCTTTTATGTTTTTTTTCCTCTTGTTCTGCCTAAATTTGCTCTGCTGGACTGGTTTCTTCCTTAACTTTTTTTTTTTTTTTTTGGTACCAGGAATCAAACTCAGGACCTTGTGCTTGCCAGGCAGGTGCTTATGCCACTGAGCTATATCCCCAGCCCTCCCTTAACTTTTCAAGTAAACTTTAGCGACTGTTTTTGGCTTGTCTCATCCATTTCTTTGTTGGAGGCAAGAAGGACCTGGATTGCATTGGATTGGTGAGCCATTTCTAAAAGAACCAGCCGGTAACAGGAAGGTTGCTGACCTAAAGGAAAAATACAAAAAAGACATCACTGCCTGCTGAGCTAAAGGAAAACCCGATACAGCAAAAAGGGAATTGTTAAGGCTGAAAAATGCAAGAAAAACAAGGAACAGGAGGAAGATGAGGAAAACGAAAGAGACAAGGAGGAGGAAGATGAGAAGATGAAGATGAAGATGAGGATGAGTAAGCTGGCTCTGGTGCACTTGTTTTATCCCTGCTGTACACGAGTCACTGCTTTTAAAGAAAAGAACTGGAATGTAAGGCTGTGTAATACTTGTTTTAAAGCTGTAGGGTGTCTTCTCATCTTCTTTGTTTTGTCAACACACTACAAAATGCATTTTTAGAGAGCTCTGGCCTGGTGGTATTTTCAGTAGCCACCAACCTTGCCCAGTATGGTATAAGGGTTGTAAATTGGCATGGAAATTTAAAGCAGGTTCTTTAATTTGGTGCACAGCACACATTCATTATGTACAGGACAGTAGTTTTTAATCTTCAGTTTTTGCTGATGCAGTTTATATGAAATAATTGCTCTGTTACCTGAATACCACTCTAATTGCAAAAAAGTTGCAGTTCTTTTGTTGATATTCTGAAAGCTTCTAAGTAAATACAATTTATTATTTAAATAAAAGAATGCAGTAATTGGAGGATGCAAATATCTAGTATGCTCATAAGATAATTTTCCCTGTAGCCAGATGTGGTAGTACACAGCTACAATCCCAACACCCTCAGAGGTTGACACAGAAGGATCACAAATTCAAGTCTAGCCTGGACAATTTAGTAACTTAGCAGGGCCTCATCTCAAAATAAAAAATGAAAAAGGGTTGGGGATGTATTCAGTGTGAAGGCCCTGGCTTCAACCTCAAGCACAAATAAGAAAATCATATAAAATGATAACCCAGCATTCTAGTTTTAGCATCAAGTTTTTTGAGAACTTGACTAATAGCAGTTGAGCTTTGAGACTGAAATGGTATCCTGGGTGTGGAGATTTTACCAATTTATTGCTGCCTTGGGGTAAGCAGACCTATTCAAGTCACATCCCTGCATGAATCTCTCTTAGCCAAGTATTTTTGAAAAATAAGGATAGCTGATGTTCACTGAGGGTCTCTAAGCAGAAGTCATTTGACCCTATGCTTACTCACTACCCAACTGTAGTAGTGTAGTTCAGTTATTATGTGTAGGCAGTGAGAGGATACTAATGGTAGGGTCAGATAAAAGAGCAAATTTAAGCAGCTAGTTAATCAAGCAGCTAAACCAAGCTTAGACATGCAATAGTAAACACACAACAAAAGATAAAAGGTTAAGATAAGAATAGAGAGAAAAGGACCTTTCCTCCCAGAAGAGAAACTTATTAGACAGAGTATGCTAAGTTAACAACTCCTTTGTAACCTCTGGACCTGGACTTCAACCTGACTCAAGAAAACATTAGAAATACAAGATAACTATTTTCTTTTTAAACTTTTGAACTCATTTTCATTGAAAGGCGCCCCCTTGCTCTGCCTGTCTGTTTAAGGCCAGACAAAAAGTCACTTCTTTCCCCTCTTGGTGGGTATTCATCAAGAGCTTTTTTCTTGTCATTAACACTCTCCTGAATTCCTCTTCCTATCCCCAAATTTATTCTTCAACTCTGGGAGACAAAGAACTCGAGTTTATACAAATTAACTGTTTTGCTGTGACATCTGTGATAAGTCATTAGCAAAGCCAAATTGGCTATTTGCAAACTCTCCCATTTTAAACACAGAACTGTTTTAAACTGTACTGAGTTCAGGACTTTCCAGTTTCTAAAGTTCTTTCCTATATGATTTATTTAATTTCATCTCTTCCTGCTCTGCCCATCAAAATTCCTTATTTGTGGGGCTGGGGAAGTGGTGGTGTAGCTCAGTATGGAGAATGCCTAGGTGCAAGCACCAAAGAGGGGAAAACTTCAGTTCTGATTTTTCCTGAGCTCAGATTGGGCAGAACCAAGTGAATTTTGGAAAACAGACGTGGAGGAGAGACGTAGCTCCTGTTTGCAAAGTGAATGGTTACTGGAGCCTGTCTTCCCAGAACTGGTCTAGCAAGAGGTCCTCTCTCTGACTTAGCAAAGCTAAGGAAGCTAACCTTCCTTCAGAGTTTTATATATTGCTCCTAAACTTTAAGTGCAATTGTAAATGACTTTTCATTCTGTTGAATCAAATGGAGGCGAGGAGAGGAATACATATACAAAGAATCTTTTTCTTTTTGTGTTACTTGGGATTGAACTCAGAGGCAATTTACTACTATACATCCATCCCTTTATAATTTTGAGACAAGGTTGTCTAGGTGACCTTGAATTTATAATCCTCCTGCTTCAGCTTCCTCAGTGGCTGGGATTACAGACATGTACCACTGCAGATGGCCAAAGAATCTTGTTGAGTAATAGAAAGCAATCAGAAATGAGGTTAAGTGTCTGAGAATTAAAATGAGGAAAATTAGCATGGTGGTGTGCATGCCTGTACTCCTAGCACTCTGGGAGGCTGAGCAGGACTGCAAGTTCAAGCTGAGCTTGGGCCTCTTAGCAACTTAGTGAAACCCTGTCTCGATACAAAAACATTTTAAAAAGGACCTAGGGGTGTAATTCGGTGACAAGGCCCTGGGATCAATTTCCCAAACCAGAAGAAAAAATAATAATTAGGAAAATTAACACCTTAGTCCAAGAGTAGATGGATAATAGCTGGGTGTCGATGCTAGACAAGGTACCCATGTTTATTACTTTGTAGATATGTTCACAGTTTTGTTCGTTCCTTCATCTGTGAGCCTGGTGTGATGCTGGGAATGGCGGGGCCCTGCACAGATGAATCAGGGATGGTCCTGACCCTTATCAGGGGAAAATACAACATTTAAAAATGGGAGCATCTTTCACTGCAGTTCTGCAGGCGCTTGATGCATATCAAGTGTTTGTTGAAATCCCATGCTATAAGGTAGGCCAGATAAAGTTCAAAGCTGAAAGCAAGATGGGAGGGACGGTCGAACAAGTGAAGAGCACATCAAGGGCAAAGATAGTGGGAAGAAAGCACAGGCTTTGTATAGAAACAAAGTGACTTTGGCCACAGGGTGGAAAAACACAGGGCAAGTAGTGAAAGATATTTTGAAAAAGTAGGTTGGATCCAGGTGCAGTGGCTCATACCAGTAACATCAGCTAGTCTGGAGGCTGACATTCCAGGAGGGATGCCAAGTTTGAGGCCACTTGGCAGTTTGGCCAGACCCTATCCCATAACAAAAACGAAAAAGGGTTGGGGACGTGGTTCAGTGGTGGAGCGCTTACCCCGCATGCAGAAGGCCCTGGGTTCAGTGCTTGACACAGAAAAAAGGAGTAGTTGGGAATCAGAGGCCCTTGGGAATCACAGAGGCACCTATTAATGTCTTTAAGAGTGCAGGTGTACTTTTAACTCACATCCAAATAATGCTGAGGGAGATGTTAGCATTTCCCTTACATAGAGTAGGCCAAGACGTTGTGGGGTGAGATGGGCTAGGCCAGGGTGTGGTTTGGGGTCGAGTGGAAAAGTTATTGCAGAAGGTAGACGATGGAGGAACTTGATCAAAACTACCTTTGTTCTTCAGAAGTCAAAATATACCCAGGCAGGATATTTAGAAGGATATGCAATAATTTAATATTTTTCATTTATTCAGAAACTGAATTTGTAATTTATCAAAAGCAGTGAAGACAAATGATCCTTCCTCTTTCTCCCACCAAAAATGCTTTCCTTGGTTAACCCGGGGACCAGTGGTGTTACCATAGCTTGAGACGGACATGCAGATTTCCAGACCTCAGATTCAGGGTGCGCGCTGAACACTATGCAGGTGACTGAGTGTTAGTTTGAGAAGTTCTGCTGGGACCTACTGACCTGCAGGGCCAGCACTTCGTTAAAAAGAACCGCTAGGGTGTCTCACCAGAGGGCAGCAATCCTCTCGCTTCCTTCCTGCGCCACCCAGAGTTCTGCCCAAGACCAGCTGCGGTCCGGACTCGGTCGGCGGACCCGGGCGGAGGGCGTGACAAGGGCGGGGCTCGGCCTGTCCAATGGGCTCTCCCGGGCAGGGGGCGGGACTCTCCCGCGCAGAGGGGGCGGGGCTCTCCTATTTTTGCCACAGCTGCTGCAGCCGCGGCCGCTCCTCCCACCCCGGGCAGGGCTCGTCATGTGGCGCGTGGCGCGCGTGCTGTGTGTGCACGCTGCAAACCTCAGCAAGTTCTCGGGACCTTGCAACAGGCCTGCCGCCTTCATGTCCACTCTACTGATCAATAAGCCTCAGTACGCCTGGCTGAAGGAGCTGGGGCTCCGCGAGGAGAACGAGGGCGTGTACAATGGAAGCTGGGGCGGTCGGGGAGAGGTACGCGTGCGCCCGGGAAGTCGCGGCGGCTGGGGTGTGTGAGTCCTGGAGACCCAGAGTGCCGCGCTGCCCTGAGCGCCTCCCGGCTATCGCTGTAGGCGATTGCGCGGGATGGAAGGGTTAAAGTTTTCTCGTGTCGTGAACAACAGCCGTAAAACCTTTCAGGTTAGGCCCTTGTGTGCTAAGAAGAATCGGTTTCATAGTGGAGCTTATTTAACACCTTATGGCACAGTCTCCTTTGGGATCCGTAGTCCCGCATTTCGCCGCGCAATTTGTCTTAATCAGACTGTAGTTTTTAAAGTGTGCCTTGCCCCGCAGGTAACGTTCTACAGGGTAATTTATGTTGCACCCTTTTCTGAAACCCTTTGGAATTTGGAAGTTTGTGCTTGCTAAAATTTTGTGAACTTCCTGAGATTTCTGTGTAGCCCAGAGCTAAACATCGTGCCTGGCATCAAGTTACTGTTTAATAATTTTTATAGAATGCAATGGAAAGCTAAGGTTATTATCGCCCATATTTTTACAGAGACTGGCATGCAGAAGGAAGCTTTTATAGGAAAATGTTATGTAATATTGAATGAAGTGAGGCGTATTATACGCTTAACTGCATTGCTCGAGGGAACATCTGGTTATCTGTGGCTGTAGGAGATGCAAGTGATTTTAATTGTTCCCGGGTCTCCTGTGTAATTGATAGTTTCATCTTGTTTTTCTTGGGGCATCTGTTCAAGAGATTCTTCCACAAAATATGGTCCCCTGAAGGCCTTTTAGCTGCACTTGGGCTTTGTCTTTCCTGCTGAACCTGAGATCGCTCCAGCTCGCGTGGGCGCAGGCCTTTCCCGTACTTGTTTAGACTTGGCTGCTTCATCTTCTGACCAGAGGGTGGGCGCAATAAGGGAATGGAGTAAGGAATGCTCCTATAACGGTCTGTTCACGGAGAAAGCTGGATTAGTTGGTACATTACGGCCTTTGTGTACATATCTTATGTTAAGATGGCAAGTATCTAACAGAAAGATGGTTTCTACTATTTAGGAGAGAATTGAAAACTGAATTTTCTTCTACCTATTTACCTATTCTCTTAATTTGAAAGGGATTACAACTGCTGTAAATAATGGTCATCTTTTTGTTTTAAGGTTATTACCACCTATTGCCCTGTTAACAACGAGCCAATTGCAAGAGTCAGACAGGTAAGTTTTTAAAATTCAAACTGCCTTCAGGGAGTTTGCAACCTGTCTTTAGAGATGGAAGCCTAGGAGGCAGGCCAAGAGCTGTACCAAAGTACACATGCAGAGAATAATGTGTCTCCTTTTCCCTTGACATTTAGACCTGCCTAGGAAAGACTGACCACACTCTGGGTGGGGGTGGTGTGCCCTAAAAAGGTGAACCATGGAGAGGACTGGGAGGGGGTCTACTGAAGGCAGTATTTCTGAATCACTTGAGGTTTTGTTAGTTAAATTTTGGATTCCTCAAGTCTGGGTTGGAGCCTGAGCATCTGTTAGTAGTATGCAGCAAGATCAGGTGTTCCCAGGCCAGGCGAACAGAACTTGCTTTGGAAGAACAAGGTGTAAAGCACAGCTGGACCCCGTCCTGTCTGACAGGGTTGTAGCCAGTGTTTAGAAGACTGTGGACATCACTCTCAAGTATAAATCTTAGGGACACCCAGAGGTTTTTTCTAGTTCTCCAAAAGATGTCAGTGGGCTCTTGAAGGTCATCACTTACCTTTCCTGCTGTTTCCCTGCTCCTCGTGCATGGTTTAGGCCAGCGTGGCAGACTATGAAGAAACTGTCAAGAAAGCAAGAGAAGCTTGGAAAGTTTGGGCAGATGTAAGTACGGCTTTTGTGGCTTGAGGCACAGAAGTCACGTATTGTGATTGTGATGAGATAAATAAAACATCTGATAAGCAGGCCAGTGTCTCTTGCAGAAATATTAGCTCCTAGATCCCTAGGAAAATGTCTTTTCTATCACTGGCACTTAGTCAATGAATACTTTCAAACAGATGAGAACTCTGTACTGGCGTAGTATAGACTAAAGCTCTGAGTATTCCTCGCTGGAGTTAGAAGTGAGCAAGTAGGGGAAGATAGGGACTGTGTTGAGACACCTGCTCTCCCCTCCTTCTTCTGTCACACCAGGAGACAGCGCCTCTGCATAGATCACGGTAACCTGCCAGCCCCGAGAGCAGCCATCTGCAGCATCTCTTTCCCAGGCCGCGGGCAGGGTCGGCTTCTTTGGTCGGAGTTTCCTCTAGAGGCTAAAAGAGCACAGCGAGAATCGTGACTGGTGCTGGGCTGGGCTGCACTGACTTGTCCCTGGGTAGGGGCTGCTTCCTGTGTGAGGGAAAGTCAAGGAGAGCAGGGATAGCCTGGATTTTCAGTGCCCGCTGTCTTCTACCCTCAGAGTGCTGTGTCATAGGAAGGGGAGGCCAGTCCATCTCCCTGTTGCTCATGAGGGGGAAGGGAATTAACCATTTAAAGTGCTCACAGGAGAGCCCAGCACCTGACAGGCCTCAGTGCACTTTTAACCCGTATGCTTCTGGGTCTGGACTGCCTACCCCGTGTTTTCTCTGAGTCAGCGTTTGCAGGGGGTTGGGGTTGGGGGTGGGCAGAATGGGGTCAGGCTTTCCCCGAGTTGGAGGTAGGGTTGTTAGCCAAAATCATCATTGTGCAAAGCACAGAGGATATCTTTCCTTTACTTTAATTCTGGATATAAGTTAGGCTTAGGGTTCCATTATATGAAAAAAAAAATCTTGACCGGAAAAATACAAGTTAACAGTGTGCTAAGTAAAGTTTACTCCACCTGGATAAGGAACAGTGTCCCAAACAGTATCATTTATGTTTCAAAGTTACTTTTATTTCCAATCATAAAAGTTATACATATTTTTTGTTAAAAAAATGTAAAATAATCTCAACCTTTTTGAAACAAAGTGACTATTATAGTTACATTTTGGTACATGTTTTTCCAGTCTCTTGTGTGTTTTCTCTGTCATTATGATTCATACAAACATATGTACAGGTGCGGAAAATTTTGTGACTTGTGATTACATCATACAGCAACTATAAGGTTACTATAAGGTTTTAAAATTATTGATGGATTTTCTATACATTTAATTTTAAAGTCCTTCTTTTTCAGCATTGGGGATTGAATCCAGAAGTACTTTGTCACTGAGCTGTATCCCCAACGCTTTGTATGTTTTATTTTGAGACAGGGTCTCCTTAAGTGACACAGGATGGTCTTGAGCTTGTGACACCCCTGCCTCAGCCTCCCAGGTAGCTGGTATTACAGTTGTGTGCCGCTATGCCTGGCTAATTACTACTTTACTTTTTAGAACAGTTTTGTCTTTGTACAGCAGTTTTATGTTCACAGAAAAATGAATTAGTAAGTACAGAGTTCCCATTGCCTCTCTTTCCATTTCCGCCATTGTTAGCATTTTGCATTAGTGTGGCCCCTTTGTTACAATCTGTGGGCCAGTACTGCTACATTATTAAGAAAAGTGTAATTTACACTAGGGTTCACTTTTTGAATATTTTATTTTGAATGGTATTGCAACTTCCCATGTCTTGTGACCAGAAATATTTATTGTATGTGTGTATTTACCTAGAGTCAATATAAACATGTTTGAAATAAGTTTGCTTGAACTAAGCTTCTTGTTTTTTCTGAGCTAGCCTTGAAACTGCCTTGCCTTGCCCTGGGGGATGGTCCCTGACAGGATTATCTTGGATGTTGCTTGGCTTTCCTTGCCGCTCTTCTGCGTGCAGGGTCTCTCTCTTCTGCATCTACTATCCCTCCTCCTGCTGACTGTGCTTTTAGGCCTTAAAGAGCATACAGTGCCAAAGCGGGGACAGCTTGCTTTCCTGGGTGACAGAAGTAGGGTCGGTTGGGAATCCTGCTCGTTAAAATTTAGTTCAACGTTTAGGGTAGAAACTGGTTTTTTCTAATAGGACCTCTGGGGCACTGGCTATTAGGATGGTGACTTAGAGAGGGGGCCACTCCCTTGAATGAGAACAGAACAGAGCTGCTGTCCTGCTGGTCTATAAGCTTTCCCAAGCCCATCTTCCCTGCTGGGGCCACTGCCTTCCCTGGCCCTTATCTTCCCGCTGGCCTCCTGTGTGAGGACAAAGCACTGTTTCATTAGTTCGTTTGAGTTAAGCCTGGAATTTTTCAAAGGGAACATTTTTTTCTTTGAGGGAAATACAAACAGTGTAAATATATGAAAAGGTAGTTTATAAAAGTGATTTCTTGTGAGGTGTGGTGCCTCGTTCCTGTAATCCCAGCACAGAGGAGGCTGAGGCGGGAGAGTCGTGAGCTTGAGGTCAGCCTGGGCTATAGACCCTGTCTCAGAAAAACAAGAAAACAAGAAAAAAAGAGATTTCTGCTGGATATGGTGGTGCATGCCTGTAATGCTAGCTTCTGGGGAGGCTGAGGAAGGAAGATTGCAAGTTTGAAGCCAGCATGGATAATTTACTGATACTCTGCTTTAAAATAAAAGAGCCGCTCTCCCTGGGTTCAATCCCGAGTAGCCACCCTCTCCACCAAGTCATTTCTTCTCTTAACCAAAGCCCACCATGGAGAACCTGGTTGGGAAAACAGACTTGCTGCTTTCCCAGGAGCCAGTCCCAGCCCTGCACGCTGCTTATTCCTGTAACCGATTGTTCCTCTTCATCTCTGATGAGGAACAGCTGGAGGCTCTTCCTTCCCTCAAGGACGAGAACTGTTACTGACCATCTCTCCCAACTACAAAAAGAAATGTCGGATAATTAGTAGCATCCCCCCCCCCCCCGTGGGGATCTTGCTGTTGCTCAGACTGGCCTTAAACTCATGCGCTCAAATGATCCTCCTGCCTCAGTTTCCCAGTGTCTGAGATAATAGTTGTGCTTCATCACTCCAGTTTTCCAAAAGTCTTGGCTAAAACTTCCTTCAGTGCATTTAGTTCCCATCACATGACTGTCTTAGATGCTCTTCTAAGTGTGGCTTCATAGGTGAAATGTGCATGATGAGAAGCTCTCATTGCCCACCTGGAGGAACGGGCCCGGGCTTGTTGATGTCGGTGCTTCTGGGACAGTCAAGCTCACCCTGGAAACATGGCTGCCTTCCTTGTTTCCTGTTTCTCCTATAATTCCTCCCCAGCCCTAGTCCTGACTTTCTGAACTTTCGCTACCGTTACCTGAGAGGCTGAAGGAAATAAAGATGCCAGATTGGATTGTTTGGGGTGGTGCCTGGTTATAGAGGTTCCCTGGGGGGTGATTCTCTCTCCAACTGTCGTCAAAGTTGAGAGTCAGCAGTCAGTTACCAATGACCAAGTTTTGGACACTTTTGATGATATCTCTGTCTTAGTCTGTTTTTGTTGGTACATGTGAATATCATGGATTGAGAAATTCACAGAAAAATTTTTTCTTTTGTTCTTTCCTTATTTTTTTACTGGACAGGGTGTTGTACATAGTCCAGGCTGGCCTTGCACTCATTATGTAGCCCATGTTGGCTTTGAGTTTGTGATGCTACTGGCTCAGCCTCCCAAGTGCTGGGATTACAGGCATGCATCACCAGTTTAGCTTTTTTTTTTTTGAGACAGGGTCTCACTATGCAATGTAGGCTGGTCTTGAATTCACAGCAATCCTCCTGTCTCCGCCTCCCAAGTGCTGGGATTATATGTGTATGCACCATGCCTGGCTGAAGTTAACCAATTTGACTAAGCTTTATAAAATATGCTAGCTAAATTCAATTGAAACAGTATAAAACGCAAGACCTGTATTGGGAAATCTATAGGATCTGCACTAATTCATTTGATATTATAAGTTTTTGTTTCCTTTTTTCAGAAGAGTACATGCATCCTAAAAATGGCAAATTTTACAGATGTATAAACTGCAGAATGCAAGTGTTTTAGTTTCTCTCCTAGAAATGATCACCGTTGGCAGCTTGGTGTGTAGTCCTTTACATTGAAGCAAGGGTTTACTTACCATATACATTGGTCTGTGCTTTCCTATTCTCCTTCAATGCTCTTCCTTGCTTATTTTAGAGAGTTGTCCATTTTATGGCTGTTCCGTATCTCATCCCTCTGGGTTCTGGTTTCTCTCTGCTATGGGTTCTGGTTTCTCTCTGCTATGAGAAACAGCACACAGTGAATATTGTACTTTTTCACACTTCGATATGAGCTTAGTTTCCAGAAGTGTAACTACTTAGTCAAAGGGTAGAAGTATTTTCAATGTTAACAGATTGCTGAGCTGTGCTTCAAAGCATCTATGCTAAGACAGGGATGCATTGTGAAGGAAGATAGAGAAGAAAAAAAAATCCTACAGTCACGTTCCGTGGGGCAGAGCTTCAGGGTGCCGTGTTGAGAGGGGAGGGGAGTGATTGGGTCTTGCCTGGGGGAGGTTCCCCTTAGCTACCTTCAGAAGGAGGGGAGCTAGAGGAAGAACTAGAGGAGAGAGAAGAGAGTGATGGTCACATTTGGGAGAAGTGCATCTCCAATTGTGAGTCAGATTTCAAAATCTAATCCTGCCCAGTCCATACGCTCTATTTCCCAGGACCAAGGGACTTCTGCCCAGGTGGTCTTCATCTAGCTGTTGTGCTTCTAACTTTTCAAGCCAGAGACCTGAGAGTCTTCCTTCGCTTTTTCATCTCTCCTGTTTCTTGCGTCTGTTTCATTAGCATGTCCCGTCAATGCCATTTCCAAAATGCATCCACACCTGCGTTTGTCTCCTCTGTTACCGCTGCAGTGTTAAGATGAAGTCGCTGTACTCTTGCCCAGGCTACTGTGCTGTGTTCTTAACTGACCCATCTCCCTGCTTCTGCTCTTTCGCTTCCATTTGTTCTCTACCCAGCAGCAAGAGGGGCTGGAAGACAGAAGCAAATCATCTTATTCTACACCATCACAACTGTTAGGATTTGACATCACACTCACCGTCAGACTCAGACCCCTTGAGTGCCACTGACTGTAGATGTAGTGGCCTCCACCCAGCCCCTTTTGTTTGCTTTGATACTCTTCTGTGTTTTTTCTCTTCCTGGGGAAGAGTAGTTCAGATTCCAGCTTTCCTGTCACCTGAGACATATTTCCTGCCAAACTGTCAGGTAAAGTGGCTTGTCCGTTTACCACCACCCCCGCCCTTCTGTGCTTCAGGACCATTTTGCTCTCCTTTGTCTTTGTAGCCCTTGTGGCAGTTTGTAATCATTTGTCAGATTTTCCACAGTCCAGCTCCCTGTAGATGTTGGCTGAATATCTTCTAATTTGAGCCTAGTATTCAGCCAGACTTAAGCCTGGATGTGATCAAGAGAGTCTGCTTTGATGTGATTGTACTTTGCTCCTCCGCAGTGCATCTCTAACACTGCTATAAATGTGGCTTTACACGTGGAATCACACATGAACGTTTCCTTCTTCTCTTAGATTCCTGCTCCAAAGCGAGGAGAAATAGTAAGACAGATTGGTGATGCCTTGCGGGAGAAGATCCAAGTACTGGGAAGCTTGGTAAAATATTTTTGTAGTATATTCATAATTCACTGGGTGGAGAATAAGACTCATGAATTTCTATGTGATTTTGATTTTAAAATCAATTTTATTTTAAAAATCCTGTCTTTAGAGGAAAGATGAATAAAATGGACAGGAAAAAGGGATGAATATTCTTCTGTTTTGTTGGTGGTACTGGGGCTTGAGCTCAGGGAGTGCTGAGTTATATTTCCACCCCCTTTTATTTTCTTTTTTGTGGTACTGGGGATCGAACTCATGACCTTGCGCTTGCCAGGCAGGCACTTATGCCACTGAGCTATATCCCCAGTCCCCAAGCCCCTTTTATTTTGAGACTGGGTCTTGTTAGGCTTGAATTTGCCATTCTTCTGTCTCAGCCTCCTGAGTAGCTGGGATTGTAGGCATTCACTGTCATGCCCAGCAATTCTCTGGTTTAAAAGTTTTTCAGAAAAACAAGAACAGACTTTCCTTAGTTTATTACCTTCAGAAAACAGACACAAAATAATGTATTTACTTTTGCCTTCTCAATTTAATGTTTAAAATATGAACTCTGTTGAGAAACTTCTGTTTTTTTTTTTTTTACATTTTAGGTGTCTTTGGAGATGGGGAAAATCTTAGTGGAAAGCGTGGGGGAAATTCAGGAGTACGTGGATATTTGTGATTATGCAGTTGGTTTATCGCGGATGATTGGGGGACCTGTCCTGCCCTCTGAAAGTAAGCCATGGAGTCAGTGAAGCTGAGTTTTGTACTCTGATAAAGAGGGGTCCATAATCTACTTGGGCTGTGAACTGTTTGCAAAAGAGAATTGTAAGTAGGTTGTAAGTATGTGAAAATGTCTTCAATCTTTCTGAGAAGTGCAGATTAAGATAGGTGAAAACATTAGATCAAGAACTTTTTCCCCCTGTGCTAGGATTACAGATATGCACCATCACCCCTGGCTTAGTGGAGAACCTCTTTTGTGTTATTTGTTTTAAACATAAGACCCAGTGTTGGAAGTCCATGACTGAGATACTCTTCTAACCCATCTAGAAAATGATTTAGAAATACAACCAGAACGCTTAAATTTAAAGCCATTTTCATGAATCTTAAGTAAATCTAAAATGTAGCCAAGAATGGTGGCCCACACCTGTAATCCCAGCACTCAGGAGGCTGAGGCAGGAGGATCCCTGCAAGTTTGAGGTCAGCCTGGACTACACAATGAGTTCAATGCCTGCCTAAATTACATACTGAGACCTTGTCTCAAAAACAAAACAAAACGAAACAAATCTTAAACATTAGTTACTTAGGTGCCAAATGATAAGGAAAACATTCAGCTAATTTTGGTAGATGATTAGTACATATTAAAAACAATGTTTATGAAGATTTCTTTGTCTAACCCCGTACTCTCATGGGAGAGTAGTATTTATTGACTTTTAAATTTTATTCTTTGAAGACACGGCATATGCATAGCAAAAACATATGCATAGACAGGACTAAAAGGTAAAGAGTGAAAACTTTCCTTCTACCCCTTCGCTATTCCATAGTACCTAATAGAATTGTGAATATTTCCCATTTCATATGTCTTTTTAGAACTTTTATTCACATATAGGTGAGTATGTGTCTTTTTTTTTAAAACCCAACATGTTCTATACTTTTTTCCTACTTAATATACCTCTGAAATTGTTTCACATTAGTACAGTAAGGGGCATCCTTCATTATTTTATTTTATTTTATTTTTTCTGCTGGGGCTGGGACCCAGGACCTCATGAATGCTAGGCAAGTGTTCTACCACAGAGCTACACCCATAGTCCTTCATGCTTTAAAAATGGCTATTTTGTTATAAAGAATTACAGTCTAGCTCTCAAATGGCAGATATTTAGGGCAGTTTTCACTTTTTCTATTACACACTGCACCGCCAGGACTGACCTTGTCCTCCACGGCTGTTTTGGATGAGGATAAGGACTTCTGCGGCACCAATGGAGCATCTCTGTAGTGGGGTTACTGGGGTTTTTGCTGTTATCTATTTTCTGTATTTTCTAAAATTTCCATGATGAGAAGTACATTACATTTATAATCAGGAGAAGAAATTTCTCAAAACAAGTCATCTTCCTCTTGCGATCTTGAGCAGTACTTGGGATTGAACCCAGGGCCTCACACATACGAGGCCAGTGCTGCACCACTGAGCTATGTCCTCAACCCCTTTTATTTTATTTTACTTTATGTTCTCTGTTTGAGATGGTCTTGCTCAGTGCCCAGGCTGGTCTTGAATTTGTGATCCTCCTACCTCAGCCTCCATGGGTGTGGGATGACAGGTGTGGGTGAGATGCCTGGCTAGAAGCCTCTTTACATGTACTGTTAATGTCCTTAATTAGATATAGCAGAGTCATTGCCACTATCCAAGATTAATTTTATGTCACTGAACACTTTCAAGAATGTTTTCCAGTTTAAAAATGTCAGTAAACAGCCAATTTGGGGAAGTATACGTGTGCAAGCAAGTAACTTGATTTATATCACCAATCACAGTGTTTTTCAATTACTTACATATTTTTTAGAAAAGCTTATTGATCTATATGGAGGCTGGGGTAACTGACTTTATTAACTTAGCAAATGTGTATGAAAATGTCTGCCCATGCCAGGAGGTTTAATAGGTGACACTTGGTCAATGAGGTATCATCCCCTGCCTCAGGATTTGCAAGCTTTTAAGTTGCTCATGTTTTAGAGCGGGAGGTAGTTGTAATAACGCATGGCAGGTGCTCTGATTGGGTGGGGCTAGGATGGTGAGCGACCCCTGTGCTCGCCTGTGTGCGCCCTCAGGAAAGGCCCCAGAGGGGACAAGAGGTGGATGTAGGCTGGAGCTGGGGGTTGCTTCACACAGCGAAGAAACCTGTGTAAAAGTTTAAAGTGGGAGAGCGACCAGTTTGGGAAGCACATTGCTGTGGCACCACTGGAGGGTCCCGTGCAGGGGGAGGCAGAGAGGGACCCTCAGGACGGGGCTTCTGGTCGTGAGGAGCTTCACTTTGTGCTGAGCACTGGCGGACACAGAGAGCTGGGAATGAGGGAAGTGACCTCAGTAGGGTGGAAAGGGTGGGCAGGAGAGGAGGCGGCTGCAAGGGGTAAAGAGGGGCTGGGGGCCTGGACAATCAGGGGCCTGGGATGAACTGCAGCTGGGGGTGCCCAGGCCCAGCCAGCAGTGTGAGCGTGGCTGGAGAGGTTGGTGGCTGGGAGTGCTGCCTTTTCCACTTGTCTGTGGCTTTAACCAGGGTGCGTGAACCCTCATATTCCTTGTTCTCATTTTTCATCGCTCCAGCTGCCTTTGATTAAAATTACCCCTTGTGGGATTATGGTTGACTTTAAAGTTTGTATTTAAAATACAAACATTGCTATTTTTATTGTTGTTACTTGAGACAGGGTCTCATTATGTAGTCCAGGCATGCCTTGAACTTACCATGTAGCCCACACTGGCCTCGAACTTGCAGTCCTGCTTCTGCCTCCCAGGTGCTGGGATTACAGACATGTGCCACCACACCTGACTCTATATTTTTCATTTTCTTATAGTGAATGTGAAGTTTTGCAATTCATTCAGTCCACATGAGCGTAGAAATGAGCCACTTGAACTTAGAGAGGTGGCCCAGGGCTTTGTGAGGCAATAAAGAAGGTAGACCTGAGAATTATAAGTCCTGCATTCAGACCTAAGAATTATAAACTCTGCATTCTGGGCATGTTCTGCCTTCTGTTATCACATCCCTCAGGGAATCTTTTACCGCCTCTCTGAAGTTTCCTTGTGTCCCAGATGGGTCTGATACTGTCCTGGTCTGCACAGCCCCTGTGAGGGTCAGAAGCATCATGACTATCATGACTTATGACATCCTGTAGTATGAAACACTTCTGTTTTACATTAAGTGCTCATCTCCCACACCTATGTAAAGTGATCTGCAGCAAAACATCTAGAATCCCCACTGGTCTGGTGTATGTGCTTTTCCTCAAAATTGAAAAATTGCAGACTTTGTGGAAGCCTGAGATGGGAAACCTATGTTTTCTAACATTTAAATTCATTTGGTAAGTTTGTGTGCATTAAATTAACATGCTTGAGCATGTCCCCTGTCCTCCTTGGCTCCAGGGCCTGGTCATGTGCTCATTGAGCAGTGGAATCCCGTAGGCCTGGTTGGAATCATCACGGCTTTCAATTTCCCCGCGGCGGTGTATGGCTGGAACAACGCCATCGCACTGATCTCTGGGAACGTCTGCCTGTGGTAAGATCTGCTCGCTTTCCTATCCAGAAGTAGGGAGCCATTTTCATGTACTCCTAAAATATTTTAAATACATTGAAATGTTTCCTATACTTGCTCTTTGAGTTAGCAAATTAAGTAACATGTGCTAGTGGTAAAGTACTGATTTTAAATATTCACATATTTCACTGTTGCTGAATTGACTTTTTTTTTAATACAGTAGCATCCCCCTTTTTCTCCCAGCTCTATTTCCATTCCTGGTTGCTATATTATTCAGTTTTGATGCTAACTTCCTTAGGCTTGGGGCTCAATCCTCTGTGAGACTGTCCCCCCACGCTGGATGTAATGATCTTAAATGTCATCCTCAGTTGAATGGACACAGAGTTTATCTATAAACAAACATAGCTGAAGGATCAATGATGGCACCGTGTTGCCGTGGAACCTACTTCCCAGCACTCTAATCCAAGTGGCTGCTTGTACAGTCCATAGAGACCTGCTTCATTCAGGTGCTGTAACTGGCAAAGGTCACTGTAACAGTCCTAGGGTCAGTGCAGCAGTCAGTTCACCATCACTTGGTGCATTTTTCTGTTCATGAAAGTCTGTTATGTCCCAGGGACACCTCCTGGAGGGTGGATTTCTATGTATTACTAGACTGATTTTGTTGTGTAATTGGACAGAGCTCTTTATCAAAACGACTTTTGCTTCTGCTTAGTAATAAAAGGTGTTTATGGTTTTCCTCATTAAATTTCTCTTTTAAAAATCTTTTTCTTTTTTTAACCATTTAAGGAAAGGAGCCCCAACAACTTCCCTCATTAGTGTAGCTGTCACAAAGTAAGTATGTGTGGCTTTCTTTCTCCGGGGTATGGCGTAGTCTTGAAAGAATGATTGATGGGCCCTGTGTTTTGTCTGATGGGAAAGTGTCATATTTATTTAAGCATGGAATTTGGGTCACCTCATTCCCTCTTGGTTGTTATAACACTGTTATATCATGTTGCAGTTTACACAGCTCTTTCGGAGCCTTATCATTTATCTCCCTGGAAATATGCCAGGTATTGACATAAGTGGTGAACTCTCCTAGACATTTTTTATCACTTGGAAAGTAAAAATATTTCTAGTGGAGAATAAATATCCTGGCAGTTTTTGAGTTTTATTTGATGACTATTAAACAAACTTAGATTTTGAGAATAGATTTCTACCCAGCTTGCTTATCTATTTATTACTTTTGCTTGTTAGACTGTTAACGAAACAAACATGGTTGAAGGTATAGCTCAGTGGTGTAGCTACTTAACCTTGTATGTGCGAGGGCCTGGGTTTGGTGTTCAGTGCCACACACACACAAAAAAGAGACCCAGAAAGAACTGATTATTATGTTAATTCGCTGATGTGTCTAACACTGCTGAAAAGGTATTGCATTTTTTGGTCAAAAACTTACTAGTATTTTATTCACATTTGAGAAGTTGACAGCTCTGATAAGGATAAAAATCAGTGTTAGAAATTTGTCAATCTGGAGTTTAGAGAGTGCATAGATTGAGTGCCTTCCCTTGTTGGGCCATGATGCACCCTTGACATTCCAGTGGATGCATGCTCAGCTGTCTCTGATTCAAGAATTGGTGGTGGGGAGCTTGTTGTAGAGTCTTTATGCAAGAGGTCCTCTCCCCACAGGGGTTGAACTCAGGGTCTTTGCACTGACATATATTCTCACCTTTTTAAAATTTGTATTTTGAGGCAGAATCTTGGTCTATTGCCCATGCTGGGCTTGAGCTTGTGATCCTCTTGCCTCAGCTTCCCCAGAAGCTGAGAGTATGCCACTGTGCTTGGCAGAGGGTTCTTAATTTTAGTTTATTGTTTAGGAATCCTGTAGTGACTTAGGACTTGAAAAGTGGGATGTAGAGAGAAGGCATTATGTGTTATTATTTAATTTAAAGGAAGTAGATAGTGGTTTTTTTTCCCCTGAGTTAATTTATTATTTTATTTTATTTTTAAAATTTATTTATTTTATTTTTAAATTTTTTTTATTTTAAAAATAAAAGGAGGAAAACATTAACAGACAGACAACCTTTTACAAAATAGCAAAAGAACAGTACAGACAATACAGTTACAAACAAAGTGGTAGGAAATTAACAATGCTTGTTGTATTACATATTGATATCTTCACAGTGGTTTCTCATGAAAACAGATAGAGACATGCAATAAAGTAAATAGTGTTGATGAAACATCTTGTAAAGCAAGATTTGGCAAATTAGATAGAACACGTAAACATGATGAGATTCCTCAGACATTAAAAGAAAAACTTTAAAAACCACAGGACATCTAATGTAGACACAGTGAACTGACCTGCCAATTGTTACTAAGCAGCTGTTAATTCTGATATTAGCTTTGCTTTGTCCTCCCCCCGCAGTAGTTTTGAAGAGTTTGAAATGTTCACATGGGAGTTTAATATATTCTGGTTAATATTTTAAAGAGAATTAGCAATATTTGCTTTTTGTAATCAAAGACAGTAAGTACAGTGATGCCAGATTTTGCTGGGATTAGCCGAGGGTGGCGTTGCCTGCTGGCTGGCTTCTCAAATTTACCTGAAAGCTCTTACTCATAAGGTGACTATGGGCCCTGTATGGTGGTGCTGTCCACTCAGAAGGTTATAGGACAGGAACATTGTTTGCCAGGAGGATTCAGTGTCTGCACAGTAGTCCTGCAGGTTGGAGAGATCTGCTCCATATTGTACAGGTGTTGGGTTACCTTGGCTTAAAAGCCAAATGCCCCACAGGAGCCAAAAATCTCTTGTATAAATTCTAGAAGCATAGTTTTCAGGTGCTACAAAGGACATGTAGTTAATAAATGTCACTGCCCTCTGGAAGGCCAAAGAGCACGAGGGTCCCATTTATAGTGTAATTCACAGATCATTAACCCTGGTCCAGAGGCAATGGATCAGTCAGGCCATTTCTGCCAAAAGCCATGTTGTCTGAGGAACATTGTTAACACCCTCACACTTCATGGGTCGCCTGGAGAATAGAGTTAGAGTCTGACTCAAGGTTAGATTCTCATGCATTTGGGGAAAGAGTTTTGTTAACCTTTACCCTTCAGCACAGCAAACCGGATCCTTGCCTTTAGAGGAAGTGCGATCTGTATGTGCAGACAGGGTGCACCCGAGTCCCTGGAAAGCACTGTACGCTGGGGACTGCTCTTGGGTGTGACACCCACTCGGTGTGATGCTTGGTTGGATCCCGGACTGGAGGGAAAAACTATAGGCGTAAAGCATATTTTTGGAAGACAGTTGGGGAACTTAGTTAGGTGTGAGGATGGTATTTTTTTCTGATTTGGGACTTTTTGAAAGTTAAACAAGTTGGACAATAACCTCACGTTGGAGTGATTGATGAAAAAGGGCCTTTGCTCTGTTGGTCCTTTTAGAAACTAAAAATGGAAGGAAGAATCCACTTTGGAAAAACCAGAATCATTTGAGCCATTTTTTTCCCAATTCAGTTAAGTAATGTTTAACTGTAGTTTTATTTTAGCTATCATGTTTTAAGTTGGTAGAGAATAATTTTTGCTTGTTTATAAGGTTTTAGTCTTGAGGCTACCGATATTTCCTGACTAAAAAAGTTAACATGGTTTCATGTGAAGCCAGCAGACAGTAGTTTTGTGTCATCTCAGGGTACCACAGAGCAGACCCTGCCCTCTCTGTTCCTCTGTGGCCTGTAGGTTTGGGACCTCTCCCCTCCCAGTTTCGTTCTTACCACTTCTCTGAGTTCTGTTTTGCATTGTGTTCAAATGTCTTGATTGCTAATGGGTCTGTCTATAAATTTATTTATCTTTTTTTTTTTTTCTGGTATTGGGAATCAAACTCCGGACCTTGCGCTTGCCAGGCAGGCGCTGTGCTGCTGAGCTAAATCCCCAGCCCCCATATTCATCTTTTTAGATCTCTTTGTATTTCCTAATTATCAATTTAATAGACTTGTGGTGGGGGACAAAAATAAAAAGACCCTATGAACCCAGGGTCTTTCCCAAGCTAAGCACGTGCTTTACTACTGAGCACCATCCCCAGCCCCCAGTCTGCCATCTTGAGCCAGATATCTTCCTAGTTTGGCAGAAAATATTGAATGATGTTTTGAACTACTTGAGCAGTGCTTTCTGTCTTCTATTTATGTCCTATGTTTTTTTTTTTCTTCTTAAGATTCAGAAAAAAATCTGTTTCCTATAAGCATTTGAAAACTTTATCCTAATATGTGAGGAGAAATCCAGTTCTGAATGTCTGAAGGGTGGGGGAGGAAGTTGAGAAAAGATTTCGGTTGTTGGAATTTATTCCTCATTTAAAAAAATCTTAAACTAAATTACTGTCTAATAATTGCCTGTTCCTTTCTAGAATAGTCGCCCAGGTTCTAGAGGACAACAAGCTGCCTGGGGCAATTTGTTCTCTGATGTGTGGTGGAGCAGATATCGGGTAGGTAAAAGATGGAGGGCATCTTTTTTTCCGCTGAAGGGCTCCAGGTGGATCAGCAGAAATCATCTTTATTAGAATAAGAGAACTTAGTACGGCTAAGGAGATGAGAACGTTCTTTTGGAATCATTATTGCAGACTTCATTGGTCTCTTTATTAGTGTATAGCCTCCGTTGCAGGATGAGTGATTTTTTTGTTTGTTGTTTGTTTTTGCAGTTTTAGGGATTAGACCCAGGGCCTCGCACATGCTAGGCAAGCAGTCCACCACAGAGTTACATCCTCAGCCCCAGTTTAATAGTTTTATAATATTCACTGTTATGCAGCCATCACTCCTGTCTTTTCTCCAGACCACTTCAATCACTGCAGAAGGAAACCCCATAGCTACCAGCAGTCACTTTATTCTCCTCCCTCTCCATCCCCTGACTGCTGTTAATACTTTCTGTCTCTATAGAAATGCCTATTTGGATAGCTCATATATGTGGAACCATGTAATACAAGGCTTTGCATCTGGATTCTTTTCCATAGCACAGTGTCATAACCTCTTTAAACTGTACCTGGCCATAAGTGCTCTGAACTATGGTGAAAGCTGAGATTGTTTTTACCAGCTTAGACTTTCAGCGAGGTTTCCTCAGAGTCAGTCTTATAACGGGTCCTGGCATAGCTGTAGTGTTAGTCTTTTTCCAACACTGTTACCATTCTGCTGTCCTTAGTGGGCAATCTCAAAAAGGGACAGTGAGTTACTCTTTGTTAACATAGATGACAATGTATTAGAGAACTCAAAGCCCAGATATGTAGTATGTGGTGAAGTGTTAGCTAAATGTCACTTAAAACCTGAATACTGTATCCTCCCCCTTGTGCTGTGGGCGTGCAGTCCTTCATGTTGCTGGCTTGGAAAAGCTCAGTAATATAAACAGGCATGCATTAAGCATGGCCGCCTTGAGCGTCAGTACTCACATTTGCAGGGTGAACCCGAGGAGACTTACTTGGGCAGTGTAAGTGGCTTGTCCGGTCCTGCCCTGCTCAGCTCACACTGAACCCTCTGAAGCACTGAACTATGACCAAAGAAGTTCAAATCAGTAGTGCCGATCTGTATTCCTTAGGAGCAGCTGGTCATCCTAGCACATCCTTCTTAAATCAGCTTCCTTGAAGAGTACTTGAGGCTATTTCCCTACAGCTGTCCTAGGTTTGTAATTCTTAAAGGGAATATATGTAAAGATTATGGGCCTGGAAAACAGCTGGAATGCTCATCAAGGAAACACTGGGATCGTACATCCAGTTACACTCGCAGTGTAGGAGAGACTTCTCTTTAGCTGGCTGCTTCCTGTACGTGATTTCTGTGTACAGATCACTCCAAGTGGGTTGGCCCATTTAGCCATACACCTTTACCATACACCTTTACTTGTGACCACTGCATTTCATTTTCATGAAGCACTTCCTTACTTGCCTGCGATGGACTTGCACATAGTCTAGACTTGCACGAAGTCTAGGCAAAAGAGGCCCTGGACCTCTTCTGGGGCCTGCCTCATTGCCTTCTTGCTGGTACCCTGGGTGCCGCCATCGCTGGGTTGCTCTGCCTGGGTGACCGTGTCTCTTCCCCTGCAGCACAGCCATGGCCAAAGACGAGCGGGTGAACCTGCTGTCCTTCACGGGGAGCACGCAGGTGGGAAAACAGGTGGCCCTGATGGTGCAGGAGCGGTTCGGTAAGTGGTGGCTTCCAAGGAGTTTGCTGCCTCAGAGGTAGGGAGGTAACTGCATCATTGGGCTTTGTTCTTCTTGACCCTTTCCACGGAGACATCGGTCCTGTGTGTTCCGTGTCCAAGTAAAAGAGAAGGGCACAGTGCTTAGGAGGCATTTATGAGGGGAGTTCCAAATTTAGGTTGGGAAAAAGAAAATTTTTCTGGGAGAAAACAATAGAATCAAAAGAATAGTATTTTCCTAGCTGGGCATGGTGATGCGTGGCTCTAATTCCCGCACTTGGGAGGCTGAGACAAGAGAATGGCTGTGAGTTCAAGGCCAGCCTGAATTACATAGCAAGACCCTTCTCACAAATAAATTTAAAACATGTTTGAAAAAGTATTTTTCACATTCTTCAAGACCTATTTGTCATGTTAAAGAAAAGTCACAATTTAAGGCCAGTGAGTACAGTGCTTAGAATGTGGAATGCTCGTCTAAAGCCAGCTCTCTCATGTACATGTATATGACTGAAAGGGGTTGAAGGGATTGTGTGATCACAGTTTCATGGTCTGCTTCATGACTGATTTTTTTCTTTTTGTGGTACAAGGATTGAACCCAGGGCCTTCACACTGAACAACATCTCCAACCCTTTTGTTACGTTTTTGGTTTGGAGACAAGGTCTCACTAAGTCATTCAGTTGCCCATGCTGTGCTTGAACTTGCTGTTTTCCTGCCTCAGCTGCCTAGGGCACTGGGATCACAGGTGTGTGCCTCGAGGACCAGGTGCAGTTGCAGTTTTGGTAGCGGTTGCACTGAGCTGGTGGACTCCTCGGGAAGAACTGGTGTCTTAACAGTACTAAATAGTCTAAAAACGTTAAGACAAGGTGGGCCGGGTCAGGCGATGGTTTCTTAGGTATGATGCCTACAGCATGGGCAGCAACAACAGAAAGGTAGATTAGTTAGACTTAAACTGAAATCATTAAACTAAAATCTTTTGTGCTGTAAAGGATACTAGGAAAAAAGTGAAAAGAACAGCCCAGAGAATGGCAAAAAAATTTGCAAATCATCTGTCTGATAAGGAACGTGGGTCTGGAGTATAGGCAGAACTCAAAACTGAACAGTATAAAAGGCAGATGATGTAACTTTAGAATGGGGAATGGATTTGGATGGACCTTTCAGGTGTGCAGTAATGAACACACGAAAAGATGCTGTACATCCTTGGTGTCACTGCTCCTATGAGCAGATTTCATCTTTTGGGCTTTTTTGGTGCTGGGCATTGAACCCAGACCTGATCTGCAACCTCAGCTTTGAACTTTTTCATCTTGCAAAACTGAAACTCAATTCCCATTCAGTGCTAATTCCTTCCTGCTCCCTGGCAGCAGCGGTTCTGCTTGATCTGATTTTGACTGCTTTGGATGTTACATACAAGTGGAATCTTACAATAATTTGTCTTTTTGTGGTTGGTTTGTTGTACTTTGCGTAATGTCATCAAGGTTCACCCATGTTGTTTGTAGCATGTGATAGAATTTCCTTCTTTGCTAAAGCTGCATAACAATGTGTAACAATATTGTGTTTTCCTTATCCATACAAAGGTTGATGGAAACATGGGATGCTTCTATCTTTTGACTTTTATAAGTAAAACTAAGAACATTGCGTACAGATAGCTGTTCCAGTCTCTGCTTTCTCTACTTATGCTAATATACCTTAATATGGAATTTCTAGTCATATGGTCATACTCTGTCTAATTTTGGGGAGATTGCCATACTGTTTTCCACAGTGGTGGCCTGTTTTATAGTTTTTTTCCTTTGAAACTAATTTAAAACTTAAAAGTTACAATACTAACAAGGGATTCTTTATACTCCTTAACCAGATTCACCAGCTGCTTAAATTTTGCTCTATTTCCTTTATTATTTTCTCTCTGTCTAGCAACATATATGCACACGTGTGTGGCTGCATGCACACATCTACAGGGTGTACACTTACTGTTGCACTGTGGAGTAAGTTGAGGATGTTGTCCTTTCTCCAGTAAGTATTTAAGTACTATGTTCTTGTACTTCCTAAGAACATAGATGCTTTCTCATAGAACCATGGTACAGTTGTCAAAATTAGGAAATTTGATATTGATACAAGGCATGCTACTTTATAAGCCAAGAAATAAATTAAAAAATAATTGGGATAAGCTATTATTTGAGGTTCTGTAGCAATGTACAACAAGTACAGAAATAGAAATTGATTTGTGTTTGTGTTTTCTTAAGGGAAATGTTTGCTGGAACTTGGAGGAAACAATGCCATTATTGGTAAGGCTCACCCCTTTTAGTTGTTTTGTTTTCTGTTCAGAATATCTTTATAACCATCTTAAACATAGACATTGTTTAGGATCTCATGCTTTATATGTTATGTGTGCCTGGGACCTAATTCCCATGTTTAGGAATTTTACGTGGCAGACAGGATACAAGTTTGGATTAAAGGTGGAGAAAACTAAGAAGGAAAAGTATCCATGTTTGGAAAATGTTACCTGGGGCCTAGATCCTGTGTATGAGACTTCCATTGTTGGGAGTGTAGCATTAGCTCTTTGTGTTTTTCCATCTCTTGTGCTCTGAGAACTCTCTAGAATGATGAAGTAACTCCTAATGTGACTTGCCCATTCCTTTAGATTTCAGAAACAGTAATTGATCTTTAGTGGAATATTGGGAGCTCCTATGTCAAGAAGGAGAGCTTCCCTAAGGTGTTTTTTATTACTCATTTATAGGCTTGATTTCTTATATATATATTTTTCCCAATTGTCTGAATTTGGCATAAAAGGGAATAGTCTATGAGCTTTAACTTTTGGGTAATGTAATGGAAATCAATAGGTTAAGATTTAATAGAAGCACAAAACATTTACTAATTTCTACATTGCTGTGAAGTTTAAATGCCTAAATATGTGTAGCAGACATTAGAGATTTAAAAAATGCATAGTGAAGGGTTTGCTCAGGTGAACTTGAGACTTCATTGGAAGACTGAGTTAGTCCACTGTGAGCCGTGGGCACCCGCCAGGTAATAATGCCTTCAGCTGCTCATGCCTGTTATTTCACTTCATCTCCACAACAGCTCGTGGAACGGACCCTGTTAGGGTCATCTGAAGCTTACACTCTGAGGTTTAAAAGGATGGCACTGAGATAGCAGGCTGGTGGGTGACAGCAGCTGATAACCGTGTCCTGGCCACCCAGTTTGAGGCCCGCAGTGCTTTCACTGCCTCTTCACTCCCATGCGAAAGCTCCCCAGATGTTGGTACCCCCCTGTAGGAAGAAAGTGAGGCTTCAGAAGTTGAGATAACACAACTAAAATGTGGTGGGGATGCAAAAGAACTCTTGTCTCTTTGCACAAAGCACTTTCTCAGCTGTCAGGTTCCCTCGAGGACACCGCCACACGACAGGCAGCTGGAGAAGGAGCAGAGGCTGTAAGGAATTACAGATAACATAGACGTGAGGGTTTACCTTGCAGAGATTTTGTAAGTTAATTTTTTTCTTGAGGGCAAAAGAGGCAGAGGAGCAGGTACAAGCTGAGAAGGGTTTTGAGTGACTGCACCAGTGCCCGGAGGATGGAGGCAGCTTGTGAGCGCCCAGACTTTCCCGTGAAGTGGAGGGTGAGTTCATGTGGAGCAGCCGCAGAGGGCAGAGGTGTATTGTTGGGGGTGGTAATGCATGCCTGTAATCCTAGCACAAGGGAGGCTGAGGCGGGAGGATCACTGACGGCTCAAGGCCAGCCTACACTGCATGGCCAGACCCTGTCTCCAAACATTGAAAAAAAAAGGAGTTTCAAAGATTAGAAAAAAAACATATTAATTTTTGCTTAGCAGTTGCCAAATGCTCAGAGGTCACCAAAGAGTGTAGATTTTTGGGCGTCAACAATCCGAGGGCTGCACTGTCCTCTTTTACTGTCTGTGGGCCAAGAGAGGAGGCATGGGCCCCAGATGGTCACTGAGACCAGGTAGTGCTGGCAGAAGGGGTGAGGGCTGAGAAGACAGCCCACCAGAGGGGTACTAAGCAGACCCCCGTGTGTCGGAACCAGGAGAGAAGAAAGACAAGAAGTCAGTGTGAGAGCCTCAGCCCGCTTGTGCGTTTGGGTGACAGTCAGAGCGCGTCGCTCTGTTCTTGTGTAACGTGGGCTGGACGGAGTAGCGTGCCTCTCCGAGGTGAACACGGAGCGCTTCCTCTCTGATGGGTTGGGCCTTCTCGTGCTTTTAAAGGCACCATTTCATAACAGTTAGCGAATACTGCGCCTGCCTGCTTCACCAAACTGATGGGCTCACATTTGTCTCTGCCTAAGCTTTTGAGGATGCAGACCTCAACTTAGTCGTTCCATCAGCACTCTTTGCCGCCGTGGGGACCGCTGGCCAGAGGTGCACCACCGCGAGGCGACTGGTAAGTGTGTCTGCATAAGCCCTGGAGATTGTCCCAGGTTTGAGATATGACTTGCTTTTTTCTTTTCTTCCCAGGTAGTGGGGATTGAATCCGGGGCCTCTGCACTGAGCTACATCCCTCGTGCCCCTCCCCTCTTTTACATTTTTAATGGGGTCTCATCAAGTTGTGCAGGCTGAACTTGCGCTTGTGTTCTTCCTGCCTCAGCCTCCCAGAGTGCTGGGCTTCTAGTCACGTGGCATCACCCCTGGCTAGCCTGTATTTTAGTGAGGTCTCCTACAAAGATGGTATAGAAGTACTGCTGGAAAAATACACCTCCTAGACATGGTGGGCAACGCTGGGCCCCTGTGGCTGTGTTGTCCGCACGGCGAATGCATCAGCCAGGGACTCTGCCTTTCTCCCACTCTCCGCTAGCAGTGGGCTCGCTGACACTGAGGATTTTAACATCTACCCGGAGGAAATGATTACCTTCATGTCATTAATATTAAATCAAAATTGTATAATTAAAGTCACGCTTTTATTTGCTTTGTTCTCAGAGATTTCAGTATTTTGAAAACTATTAAGAACTATTAGCACTATTAAGAAAATGATTTATTCCTTAAAAAGTGATGCATTTGTCCTGCCGTCCCCATGAGTGTTTCTTCTTTCTCTTAGTTTTTACATGAAAGCATCCATGATGAAGTTGTAAGCAGACTTAAAAAGGCCTACTCACAGATCCGCGTTGGGGACCCGCTGGAGCGTGAGTATCTGGCTGTTTTCAAGGGTACTCCCTTTTGACAGTGGGTGTAAAGTGTCTCTGACCTTCTGTGTTTGGGAGTCTTCTGTTGCCATGAGGATAGCCGGTGAATGGTGCAGAGGCCTGAGAGTCTGCAAAGCAGGCTATGAGGCATTTGGGGTGACACGGTTGTTTTTAGGGTTGGGGCCTGGTGTGTGCGTTGGTGAGATTGCCCTCATCCAGGCCACTCCGCCCCCTCTCAGGAAGGCCCCGTGTCCCTCACTGACTTTCCCACCTCCACGGCTGCCTTTGACTGGACCCAGAGTGACTTTTTAAAAACTGTGTCAGAGGATGAACTCTTTTACTAATACCTCCATGACTTCTCATTGTGCTGAGACGAAAGCCCAGATTCTTTTGCTTCCCGCTTCTGACGGCTTCCCAGTCTTCATGCTTTGATGTCTGCCTCCCTCCCTGCCTGGCTCTGCCCAGATCTGTGTGCCTGGCTCCCTGCTTCCTGTGCTCTGCCCTGTGGGCTTCTCTCGGTGCTAACAGTCCTCCCGCTCTTTCCTGCTGTTCTCTCTGCTGGAATTGCCCTGCACCCAGCACCTTCCACGGCTGGCTCTGCTTACATGCCCTCATCACAGGGCAGCCCAAGTCTTTCTTCTTCCTCTGTTTCCTCAGCCTCCAGCGGCCACACAGGGCAGTGCCGGTGTGTCCCCCTGAATTGCACAGCAGCTGGAAACTGGTGTTCTTGGACAGTGGTCTCACTGTATGAATAGACTGATCCTCTAGGTTTAATGCAGCGGCTGTGGGAAGGACTGGCAGACAGTTCACTCAGAAAGCTGGTGTACTGCTAGCGTGGTGCTGCTCGGGGCACAATGAAGAGTTTCCTTTCTGTCTCCAGCTAATGTGCTGTATGGGCCGCTGCACAGCAAACAGTCAGTGAGCAAGTTTCTCGGAGCAGTGGAAGAAGCAAAGAAAGCGGGCGGCACTGTGGCCTCTGGGGGCAAGGTAAGGCACAGTTGCTTCTTCCCTTCCCTTCCCTTAAGCCCTGGCAGGGCTCTGAGCAAGTTGGTGAGGCGTCCCCGTTCCATATCCTCCTTCTCCCAGTTTCTTATACAAGGGTTTTCCCTGGAAAGTTTCTGGGCGAATACACAAGAATCTTAGAGGCCTGTGAGCTTTTGAGTTGGGTCCCTAGAGCCTTGTAATGGAAGAGAGACCTTGTCGTAGCACAGTAGAAAACTTTGTGTTCAGAGCTGTTGGTTCCTATATTTATTGTTTACTTTAGACAGTTAAGGTAGGAAATCACAAAAAATATGTACCACAAACATTTTATTTTAAGTTAACACATAGAACTGCTGGGGGTCGAACTCGAGGAATGGTGAATGATACCTCCACCCACCCCCACCCCTCCACTTTTATCTTTTAAATTTTGAGGCAGGCTCTTGCTAAGTTTCTCAGGCTGGCCTCGAACTTGGCATTGTTCTGTCTCAGTCTCCCAAACACCTGAGATTACAGGAGTGTGCCACTGTGCCTGGCTGGGGATTTGTTTGATACACAGGCAAGGTGTTTTCTTCATGGAGTGTAAGAATTTGTTGTCTATGAAAACTGTACCTATAATGTATAAAATACATAATTTTGTTTCACTTAATTTGAATTTCATGGTGACTTGAGTTTTGTAAAACAGCAGATTTTCTCTCTAATCTTAACCATTGACACATCCACTTCTAATTGTCAGGGTTGTGTACATTTTTTTTTTGTGGTAGTACTAGGGATTGAACCCAGGGCCTTTGACCTGAACTATATCCCTAGTCCTTTTTTCTTTCTTTCTTCTTTTTTTTTTTTTCCCCCTTTTTTCATTTTTTATTTTGAGGCAAGATCTTGCTAAATTGCTAAGTTGCCCGAGCAGGACCAGAGCTTGTGATCCTTCTACCTTAGTCTCCCAGAGTGCTGGGATTATAGGAGTGCATCACTATGCTTGGATTTTTTTCCCTTTCTGATATTGCTGTTTCTTTGATTCATTTGATCCGTTTTTAGAGAAATAGCTTCATTATTTGTGTACTATTTAAGTTCCAGAATGCAGTGTGGCATTACAGTAACAAATACAGCTGCCATCCACTCAATTGAGGGCAAATACAATTGACTCTTGATAAATATACAGCCCAGAGGAGGAGCACAATTTCAGAGGCTCATTGGAGAGTGGATGGACCGTGGAGCGGCTGGCTGTGGGCATCGGCGTATCTCGTAGGAGGAAAGGGAGAAAAGATGTGAAGAGGAGCTGAGCTGGGAACTTGGCTGTGTGGTGATCAGTTATGGGAGTGTCTGTAGTGTATTATCGTAGAGTTTTGGTTTTGTACGATGTGCGTTAGTCTGCTGTGGTTGCTGTAACAAAATACCATAGCTCAGGCAGCATAAACAGCAGCAGTGTATTTTCTCCCGGTTCTGGAGGCTCGAATTCCAAGGTCAAGGCGCTGGCAGGGCTGGCTTCTGGTCACTGACTGGCCAAGTCCTTTCTTGTATCCTTGTGTGGCCTTCCCGAGATGGGGAGGATACTGTAGTGTCTCTTCCTCTTATAAGGAGCTGGTCCTGTCAGCTTGGGCCCCACCATGGTGAGCTCATCCGGGACTTTAATTGCCTCCCTAAAGTCGGGTTCCAAGAGCACGCACGCCTAGTACCAAGGCCTCTGCGCGGGCGTCGGTGGCAGGGCACAGTTCAGTCTACAACACAGCGAGCAGCAATTACTTATTTCAAAATTAATTTCAAAATAACCACTTGTAGCAGTGTCTTGTCTGTGACATAGCTGGCTCGTGACACATGGCGTGTCTCTCTTCATACTTCCCTCCTTTCAACATTTTTTTCTGATCAACTTAGAATGAGCGGGAGGAAGAGACCATTTTCATTCAAGATGGGCTATTGTTTTGGAGAAATGATTTATAAATGCTGTTTATTTATTTTTTTCTCGTTAAGTGTAGGCAGAGATCGTGTCCTCTGACCCCAAGTGCTAGAAAACAAAGTACTTTCGTTCCTCTTATTTCATCTCCCCACCTAAGGTTATGGATCGCCCTGGAAATTATGTAGAACCCACAATTGTGACAGGCCTTGCCCATGACGCACCCATTGTGCACACAGAGACCTTTGCTCCAATTCTCTACGTTATTAAATTCAAGGTACAAATGAATTCTGTTTCTCCAGTCTAATATTGAAATAAATGCTAAGACTAGGAAAACATGAAGATCTGTTAAATTTCGATTGATTCTCCTTGAGGGAGGGTTTAGAAAGTCATTTTGAATAGTAGAAATTGGGAGGCTCGGGTAAAATATGAGATGAGCACTTCAAAACTATAGAGTGTGCCAAGCTCGTTGCCAGGGAGACCGAGATAGGGAGACTGTTAAGGTTTACGAGTGTGCGGTCGTCACCTCCTGTGTGCTGTCACTCTGGGCTGTGTGACCCATCGCACTGGCTTCTCCTGACACTTGGACTGGATGCTTCCATAGCCCAAGTTCTGCGTATGTGTAAGACACGTGAGAAGCCCTATAAGTGCCTATGGACACATAGTTGTAAATGACCTGTGGGCCAAATTGTGAAGGTTTTAACAGGTATAGACAGCTCCCTGAATATACTGTTATTAGCAGTTGAAGGACAGCAGTAATTGCACTTTGTTGCAGTTATGTGATTGCACTTATGTTGTGCTTTAAATTGTCTATCATTGTTTCATATATAGCGCTAGAGAGTATAATTCATGTTCTATAACATGTGTGTTTGACTGTGGCATTTTGAGCAAGCTATTTAGCTTCTCTGGGCTTTAGTTAGCAAATCTGTAAATTGGTGATTGTATAAAATTCATGCCATAGTGTAGGGATTAAATAAGTGCATATTCATTGCATAGTTCAGCATGTTGTACACGTTAAAGACTCAACAAATATTAGCTATTATATTTACTAGTTTAAATGGAAGAATGTACAGATCTTTTTCTTGAATTAAAACAGAGGAAGCTGTTTCCAAAGTTTTATTTAGCAAAAAAGATCTAAATTATAAAAGAAACGTAGAACTGGTGAAATGTTGCCTCTTGCTTTTCATTCGTTCACTAAAATTGTGTATCTCATAAAATGAGTTTAACATCAGTGCACTTTAGCTTGAGCGCTCTAACATCTAACAGCTTCCAACGTGTGCCCTTTAGGATGAAGAGGAGGCCTTTGCCTGGAATAATGAGGTGAAACAGGGACTTTCAAGTAGCATCTTTACCAAGGATCTGGGCAGAATCTTCCGCTGGCTTGGGTATAGCTTTGTTGATTTTAAACATCTGTATAAGTGTGATGAATGAACTTGAAAAAAAGTGAATTCTTTTTTTCTTCATAGAGAGTCTGAATATTTGAGTTTTTGTTTTAAATTTCCTGTCTGTTACTCACCATGCCTCTGCTTTTACACCTAGACCTAAAGGATCAGACTGTGGTGTTGTAAACGTCAACATTCCAACCAACGGGGCTGAGATTGGAGGAGCGTTTGGTACGTAGGGAATCATCTGTCCTCGTGTTGGGAGGGAAAGGCAGAGCAGTAAAGCTGTTCGGGGAGTGAGATGAACACGCGGAGCTGGGGCTGAGATTCTGCATTAATCTCACGGGATCTAACAAGCTACAGGAGCTTACATTCCAACTCAAGTTGTTGCCCGGAGGCCTGCATTTTCTGCTCAGTACAGCAGCAGGTTAGACGGGGACCCTTAACCGAGATATGTTAACTCCTGGAATGTGGCATCTGTCTTCTAGGCTGAAGATCTAAAACCCAGAAATGATTTAGAACTCCTGCTTTGAGGTTGGAAAACCTCTTATAAAATTTTTGCTGTTTATTTACAAAGTGGGTGTAATAAACTTAAATATATTGTCTTTCACTAGATGAAACACTAAGTCATTTCTCTTTGCTGGGCCCTGCTTTTCTTTAATAAGCCATGAACTATTAATGCTTAAGCTTAGTAAAGGGTTTGTTTTGTTTTAAAAAAACTCATCCCAACAATCTAACATTCAGTTACTTAATAAAAAAAATCTAAAGTGTAGTAAGAAGAGATTATCTTTTCTTATTTTTAATATAAAGGCAAAGCAAACATTTTTTTGTTTTGGGTTTTTACAGTACTGGGGATTGAATCCAGGGCCTTTAAACTGAGCTACATCCCTAGCCCTTTTTTTATTTTATATTTTGAAACAGGGACTCACCAAGTTACCCATGCTGGGCTCACAACGGCATTCTTTTTGTCTGTTTCCCAGAATGATGGGATTATAGGTCTGTACCACCATGGCCAGCAACAAACACGCAATAACACCTGTAAGAATTTATATAATTAGTGGTGTTCTTTTATGTTTTTAGACCAAACGCTGCAATTCTGGTTCACTGTGAGGTTTTGACAAAGGCTCTGATTTCTAGTCAGGGCCCCACCCCTGCCTCCTCTGTAAGGCTGTCTGGATTCATATGAGTCCATCTGTCCCTTCTGTGGGTCTCAACTCCAGTTCTAGGCTGTGCCTTACACTGTCTGATGGACTGTTCTTCCTTTAAGCTTTCACACTTAGTTTTTAGGATTTTGAGAAAGTCTTGTAATTACTCTTCTTTCTTTCCCAGCAACTACTGTTATTTTATTTTATTATTTTTTTTATTTTAAAGAGAAAAAAAACAATAATGAAATAACAACAGCAAAGACAAAAACCAACACAAAACAATAAAAATGATACAGAACAAAACAAGGTGATAGGAAATTAACAGTGGTTGCTGGGCCAGGGACATAGCTCAGCGGCACAGCACCTATCTGGCAACAGTGGTTGTTGTATTACATACTGTTATCTTCAAGGAAGTTGCTCAGATTACCAGATATAAGAGTGCAAGATTGATCAAACCATTAAAGAGAATAAAAAATAATAAAAAAACATTAGAAACAATACAGAGCTTCATTAAACAAGATGGTAGGAATTCAATAATGGTTGTTATATTGCACATTGTTGTCTTCAAATTAGTTGTTCAGACTACCAGATATAAGTGTACAAAATTGGAAAAAAAAATTTAAGCATTAACTGTTTTTTTCAATAAACTAATAGATATCAGCAGTACAATTACCCAAGCTATCCTTGTATATACATATATATATTTTTTCCTCTTCCTTCTTTCTTTTCTCCTTTCCCTCATCCCAGTTGTTCCTTCCCTTTGAGCAATTTCTTTCCCTTTCACAGTATCTTTCAGGTTCTTTTTTTTTTATTTTTTAATTTTTTTGTGGTATTGGGAATCAAACTCATGACCTTGCACTTACCAGGCAGGCCCTGTGCCACTGAGCTAAATCCCCAGCCCTCTTTCAGGTTCTTACACTAGGGAGCTAATATGATGTTTATACATGTGGGTCTGATTTATTTCACTTATGAGTATGGTCTCTAGTTGCATCCATTTACTTATAAAAGCCTCAAGTTCATCTTTTTTATAGCTGAGTAATACTCCATTGCATAAAAATGCCACATCGTTTTTACCCATTCCTCTGTTGATGGGCCTTTGGGTTGTTTCCAAGATTTAGCTGTGGCAAATTGTGCTGCTGTAAACTTGGGTGCACATATATCCCTAGCGGCTTTCAGAGATTTCCTTAAAATTTTCTTGTGTTGAGTTTTCTACCTTTTGCTGTTATTAAAAACAACCCTAAGACTTACTTACTTCTTGTATTTTGATGACATGCTTTCAAATAGTATCCTTTTATTGTTTAAGGGATCCTCATCTTCTTGAAACCTTTTTAAGATACCAAAATAAGTCTTAAAATTTTTCAGTAGGGAATATGTGTGTACAGTAGAAAGAACAGATAAGCATAAACAAAAAATAAGATTGTCTTCCAACTGTCTAGATATTCCTATTCAATACCTTAATTTATATATATATATCCCCTATATGTATTTATTTATTTAATGGTTTCTTCTGTTTCCTGATATATTTCTATTTCTTCTTTATTTTTTATTTTTTACTTTTTCTGTTTGTTTATGGTTTTGGTTTTTTATTTGTTCGTACAGGAAATACACTGAGCTAAATATAAAGTAACTGTTTGCATAGTTCTGATTCCTTGTATCTTTATCCCAGTGATACCAAGTAAAAGCTTACAGAGAAAGAAACTGCTACAGAGCTGTGAGGTTATTTTGTGTTTCTGTAGGAGGAGAAAAGCACACTGGCGGTGGCAGGGAGTCTGGCAGTGACGCCTGGAAACAGTACATGAGAAGGTCCACATGGTGAGGAGAGGCCCTGGGAGATGGGTTTGGTCTTAGATCTGTTGGAAATGTGCTGTTGACCTCTTGTACCTTCTGCTTTGTCTTCGTGCAGTTTTGCTGGATTTCATTCTTTCTAACATTTGGTAGCTGTTCCCTCATTGAGAGAAATAAAATTGCAGTCCCCATTTTCTTGCATCCTGCTCCAAGAAAATTTGAGTAACATGTATGGATATGGATGTATGCCTCCCAAACTTGCATGGTTCTCTTTTTTCTTTTCTAGTATTGGATCCATACTGATACTGTTTTATGTCCTACATTGCTTTCTTCATTAACTTATAACTTGTTAATATAACCAGATGTATACATTTTAATGGTGTGAAAGTATTCTATTTTTTGTGTGTACCATCATTCATTTAATTTTGTTCATTTTTCCCTTCCAGTACCATCAACTACAGTAAGGACCTTCCCCTGGCCCAAGGAATCAAGTTCGAGTAAAGGTGTTTCACTTGGCCATTCCTTAATGTCTTATAGGCCTTTCTGCAGCTGCCCTGAAGACCAACAATATTAAGCTTTGCCTTGAATAAATGTATCATTTTGAATATGACAATGGCTAATCTATGACCCTCAAGCCCTGACTAAGTCAGTAGACTAATTTTTTTTTAAATAAAAATGTTCACAATCTTGCTACATTCAGTAAAAAATGAGTTCGATGGATTTTTGTTGCTAATTTTTTTTTTTGTTGTTGTTATTGTTGTTTAAAGTTGAAGCCACTTTAGAAAAAGTACATGCCATACTGGGAAGTTAGAGCAGAGTGGAGAGAAAACAGAAGTCTTCTCAGTAGATAAAAGAGTGTCTCCTAGGCAGGAAAGAATTCTATATTGTGTATTGATTCAAATTAGCTTCCCCTAGTGTGTAGTGGAAAAAGTGTAATTGAAAGAAAGATATGTCCCTTAGATGCCAGGGACCAATATTGGGATGGAATAGCTTGCTGTGTTTAAAATGACAAAGGGTGTTTACCACCAGTTATGTCTCTTGCTCATGATGGCTGTGTGAACATGGAAGAGATTTATAGAATAAACATAAATTTCACTCCTGGCCCAGAACCTGCCTCTTAACAGGACTTTGATGCTGAAGCTGTCTGCAAAATTCTACTGAAAGTGCCTGCAGCTGTCTCTTGCTGCCTGTAGGTGGTTTTCTTCAGCTCTCAGGTGTCTGCAGTTGCATGGGGAACTGTGCTCAGCCCATGCTCCTCTGCTCTGGCAGCGTGCTCACAGAGAACTTGGGAACAGTCCCTTGGTCTTTGCTGAGAGTCTGGCTCCCCGTTGGGAGGCTGCATGGCCACCTTGGACTGGTTCTGCTGGAGACCCCTGTCTTCTGGCACTCTGTGCTCCCCTTCTATGAGGCAGCTGCCACCTCCTCAACTCTTATCAGGTTGGACTGGACAGATGCCTTTGGAGAGGCCGTCAGGAAGTGTAGAGATTTGTAGAATTTGTGAAGAGTTTGGGGTGAAAACACAGAGAATAAGCAAATGAGAAAACAAACAACTGTAAGTGCAATAGGGAAGGGAAGGTGTTCACGATGTTGCGTGGCCGCTGTGAGTAGCATTTATCTAGGCACACTGTGGTCATTGATGAATAGGAGCCAAATATTGATGATGCACCTGTTGAAAGGGGGTTTGGAAGGAGAAATTGGTGATGAGGGGAGGTAAAAATAGTTCTTCATTTTCCATAATAAAAAATGCCTAAAATTAATAAAGCAAGCAGTAGCAACATAGGCTTACTAAAATAGGACTATAGGCCATAGAATTATTTGATTCTTTAATCAAGAAAATGAGTAACTTTGATAAAAATTAAGCACAAAGGAGAACAACAACTGTGTTCAAGTCAGCAGATAAAGTGGCTGCATTCAAAGCCAAATGGGAATCCTGGGGGTGATGAAGCCATAAGTGGGCTTGCAGATAGCATTAATTTTAAGATGTATTTTCAAAACTCAATACTTGTATACCGTTAAATATTCAAGTGGGCCTAGAAAGCTTATTAAAAAGAACATCACCCATTTTCCCTCATGCTCTATCTTAGCACTTGTGCCCACTCATCTGAGCAAACTTTTTTCCATTCTTTTTTATCGCCATATTACTTTTTAAATTTTATGTGTTAATGCACAAAAGAAAAAGTTGTACATGTTAGTGCAGCACCATGTGATTCTTTCTCACACTACACATTTGTCTCAGTTTTGGTAAGCCCACACGCTAACTATAGCCAAAATAAGTAAAAAACAGTCACTGAAAACTTCACAAATGGAAAAAGACCTGATGATGACACAGCAGAAGACTCTAAGACTACCAACAAAAAGAAAACCTCATTTAAAGAAAGCACCAAGAGCCCTACTTAAATTACAGATTCACTGCTCTGTGAGAATGTGGGTACAAAGCATATACATCTTCTCTTCTACACAGAAGTGAGATGGCTTTCTAAAGGTAGCTCACTGGTCCTAGTTATTTTTTAAGTTATGAGAGCCACACTGGAGCTTTTAGAAAAACAGTCACCACTGGCAGCACATTTCAGTAGTACAGATGGGTCCTAAAGCTTGCCTGCTTGTATGACATGTATAACCTGTTCTGTGGACTCAATCTGTTCCTTCAGGCAAGAATGACAGCTGTGTTCAAGTCAGTGGATAAAGTGACTGCATTCAAAGCCAAATTGAGAACTACAGGAGTGATGAATGAACACTGGGATTTTTGATAGGTTTCAAGCATTAGCGAAATTTTGAGAAAGACTGAGCTAAGGACTTTTTTCTCTTAGCTGGTGTATGATCACCTATCTCAGCTTGCTTGCTTGCTTGCTTGCTTTATTTATTTATTTATTTATGGTCTTTTTGAGACAGAGTCTCACTATGCAGTTCAGGCTGGTCTTGAGCTCACTTTGTAGCCCAGGCTGGTCTTGAACTTGCAACGATCCTCCTGCCTTAGCCTCCTGAGTGCTCCTATCTCAGCTTTTAAAAGAGTTTGAGTGGTACTTCTCAACCATAAGAGGCCCATGAGTTGAGAAGGAATGGATTAAAAACCCAGTGACTGTCCTTGTTAGAAAAAGATTAATGGCATGAAACTACAAATGATGGCCTTACAGGTGTGTTTGAGACAACTTCAAACCTCCCTATGTTTTGGGTTAAAGTCAAGGTAGAATATCCTGAGATTTGCCTTAGGCACTGAAAAGTCTTCTTCAATTTCCAACATCCTATCTTTGTGAAGCAGGGTTTTCTGCAGTGACAGTAACAAAAACCAGATTATGGAGCAGACTGGGCATACCCCACACACTTTGGTTGTCACTGCCTCCCATCACCCCCAGATAGAACTGTGTAGTTGCAGGGAAACAAGCTCAGGGCTCCCCCTGGGTGCATTATTATGAATTGCATAATTATTTCATTATACATTATGTAATAATATAAATAAAGTGCATAATAATGCAATGCTCTTGAATTACCCTGAAGCTGCACTCTCTCCCTTCCCAGACTGTGATAAAATGATCTCACATGAAACCAGTCCACGGTGCCAGAAAAGTTGGAGATCACTATTCTGAAGCACATGTGCTAAACTTTGGCTCCTCTATGCTGCCCACCTACAATAAAGCCTCTTCTCCTGGATCTCATGTTTTCCTATTTCTTTATACTCTTCTTTTGCTGGAGCACATCCTGCAGAAATTTCCTAGCAGTGATTATTTTTGGGGTACAGCAATTTGAAAAAAATCTCTTCTACCTAAAGGAAAGATTGTCCCCACATTGAATGCAGGTAGGATTCTGAATTTAAAATTTGAGATAGTTTTGTTTTTCTATTGGATAGGCTCATAAATATTTTGTAGTATTGATATGTTAGTCTTTAATCCATTTATAATTTGAATATATGTTATGATTTGTCCAAATTGATTTCCCCTTTAAATATTCAAGTAATCCACCCGAGGCCAGTTTGACAAATTGAGTTTTTCCTCTATGAGGCTTCTTATGTATTCATTACATACCAGTATATTTTCAGGCTGTGTTCTGATTCAGTAATTGGTGTGTGAGTTTACACATGTACTGGATACATTAAATTACTGTGGCCTTTAAAATTTTTTTATTAAATTTGTTTTAGAGTCCTATAACCATTATCTATGTGACCTTCAGAAAGTGATCTAACCTTTTATTTCCTATTTTTAAAAGCCCAGATCCTTGTTCATGCTACGCTGCAGTGCTGAGCTAAATCTCCAGCCCTTTTAGTATTTTTATTTTGAGACAAGGTCTTGCTAGGTTGTCAGCCTGGCCTCAAATTTTGCCTTAGTCTACAAGTAGCTGGCATTACAGGCATATGCCACCATGCCTGCCTTTGGACTTGCCTATGGACCATACTGGTTTGGCTTCTTTTTGGAAGATAAAGAATCCAGTTCTGTCTTCAGCACATACGGAATGTTTCGGAAAGCATATTAGCCAAACTCAGTTTGTTCCTTCAAAATTTTTTCTGCTACATTGTGTTCTTTGGGGCTGACCTCTAAGGACTGTTTCATTTAGGCTTTGTTTGTTCCCGAGCACTGGGGATTATCCCGGGCCTTGTGTATGGCAGGCAAACGCTCTGCCACTGAGCTGCACCCCAGCCTCGTTCTTCTGGCTTTTGACTGTATTAGCAAATCAGTGGTAGTAAATCAGAACAGAAGAGGATCCGGTTGTTCATTTCCCCATTTCCTTCCGGCCGGCCCTTGGTAACTATTACAATGGTTTTATTCCGTTTCTATGACCACGTCCTGCCGGGTAGCCCCTCTGCTGTGGATCCTGCCAACACCATTCCCCGCACGCTGCTCTCTGTAGCTTGAAACGGCATTCTGATGATGCTTCAGGGGTTTGTCTCCTTACCTGTGGGGCCAGGTAGCAGTATACTTTTCTTACTCCTGCTAGAATGAGTGAATTTCAAGTGTGTTTAGGCTTTTCGTTTCTCTACTCAGACTTTCTGGGAAGGAGCAAACAATAACATGGATCATTTCTGAGGGAAGTTACCCGGCCCCTGGCCCGGGGGAGCTGAGTGTCTGGATTAAGGCTGAAATCAAGGGCAGATAATTCCTCCCAGGGAAACTGCAGTGTGTCATCACAGGTGAGAAGCCTGGGTGCTGCTCAGCTTAGACAACACACGTCCACTAACCAGGAATGGGGAAGCCTGTCCCGCGCAAGTGTGGGGATCAGAGAGGAGAAGTATAAAAGTACGTTGTGCCTGGTGCACCATGCCTGGTGCAAAGCAGTAACTGACTGATGTCTCTCGTCAGGGTTTTTTCCACATCAATTTTTGCAGTTATAAATATTTTAGTCATCTTCATAAAAATTTAGAAACATTTTTCAGGTTATAGCTTATATTCACTCTTTAAAAGTCCAAGAATGTGGTAAGTATTTTTATTTGTTTAGAGATTTAGGGTCCCATGCAAAATTTTGTAGCTTGTTTCAGGCATATTCTTCTTTTTCTTTTTTTTTCTCTTGTCTTTTTGAGACAGGGTCTCCCTATGCAGTTCAGGCTGGCCTTGAGCTCACTTTGTAGCCTAGGCTGGCCTTGAACTGATAACAATCCTCCTGCCTTAGCCTCCAGAGTGCTGAGATTATAGACACGAGCCACTGTGGCCAGCTTTCAGGCACAGTCTCAAATTTTAAATCTACTCCTGTATGTTTTGAGTTCAGTTACTGTAAATGGGATTCCTCTCGCTTTATGC